AATTAACACTGTTATAAAAGGTGCCTGATTGATTAATAAATCGGAGTCGATGCTGACCAACGCAAGGTGGGTCGTCTCTCTCCAACTTCAATATATGGTGAACATCAATACAGCACCAGGAGCTGAAGGAGCTGAAGCCTCAGGCCATAGGAGCTGGGCAAGAAGAGACTTTTCGACCAAAGTAATGCTGCCAACATGGACCTGACTGAATCCAGCAGATGGAATAATGGAATTATAGTATCCTTTCTACTGGAAAAGACCTCTAAGCTAAACCAGTCCAGCTGGTCACCAAGCAGTGTCAAGCCCAGCACTAAACCATGTCCCTGAAGTGCCAAGGCCTGGACACCAGCAGCGAGTGAGGCCAGAACAGCAGGCCCTGAGCCAAAGGTGGCCTCTGGATGAACCTTCCAAGCAAAGGTTATCTTTGTAACTGCTCATTAATGAAATATTAAGGTCGTTAGAGCTGTGATAGATGTATCCACTCATTAGTGAAACATATATTGACCTTTCTGTGTTTAGAAGCTGGACAAGGCCATGAAATCTGACATCGGGCCTTGTTTGGGGCTGTATGGTCAAAGTCAGCTCCCTTGGTTCCTCCTTGAGTCCTGGCCAGGCTTTGAGTAGAACCAGGAGGAGAATGAAATCAGATGTTCCTGCACTAGAAATGCTGTCAGTTTGTTCATTCAGCACTGTCAGAGCTGGGCCCTCTCACAGCCGGGGTGGAGCCTCACCTGGGGCTGGAGGCACCTGCAGGAATTGCCAGTGCCCAGGAGTGGCTCTGCAGCCTTGGCTGTGACAGCTTCCTCAGCTGCTGTGTGGGTCTGGGGGATGGTAAAGGCTGAGGGTAACTGGGGCTGGATCTTAATCACTGCAGGCAATCTTTGATGGTGATGATTGGGAGCATTGCTGAGCTGCTCCTTCTGTGATTCTTTGCACTTTTGCAGTATAATAAATCACACAATTCCTGAACTTGGTGTCTTTGTCTTTGGTGCTGACCCTGCCCACCAGCAAAACAAAGACAGAGGACCCACAGAATCAAATGCCTTGTGACACTGTGGGGCCTGGTATGACCAAGGGGACCAGAGTGACACTGTGGGGCCACATGGAACCACGGGGACCTTAGTGACACTGCAGGGCCACATGGAACCAAGAGGACCTTAGTGACACTGTGGGATCTCATGGAGATTATTTGAACACTGTGAGGCATCATGGAACTAA